TTATGATCATGGGTACAATTGTAATAGCTTGTTAAGTGCTTCCATGGTGTTTTAATACATCACTTTGCTGTTGTGATCTAAAAATTGTATCATAAAAAGATTGTTTAAAAGTCTAATTCACATTGAATAAAATTTTCTCACATTTGATCCATGCTTTAGAGTTTAAAGACCAAGTTTGTAGCTTGAACACAAATCAAAATCTGATTATTGGGTAAAGCAGAGTTCATCAGCATTATAAGAGATTGTCTGTAACCAGGAAGGGTTAAAAGTTTCTCTTTGATATATTCTAGATTGATGATACATTCTTTTCTGTGGATATTACAGAGGATAATTGATTGAAACAATTGTGTGTCCTGATTTTAGAGAGAGTATTCCCAGTATCCTGATTGATTCATCTGATTGTTAAGTTGATTAAATAACTTCACAGAACAATAAAAGTATAGTAAACATGATGGGAATTTAGTGTGCCTCAGGAGACAGTTAGAGTGAATTATGCCTCTTGTCTTACTATTTGTTTTATGATATTTTTCAAACATATTAATTTGGTATAGTGTATAACTAATGCGGGCATTGTCTTACAAGGAGTTGATTAATTTACAAAGAAATTCCGACTGTTTTGTCTTCTTCAATTTTTTTGCAGAAATGGCATTTTTCTTTGCAATGGTAAACCATAATATGTTATGTTCTTCAAGGTTAAAGGACCTAAGAATTGTTAGCTAAGGGCCCAGTTACACAGACGGTCGGTACCCAATCGGTCATTTAGTTTTAGATTTAGTTGCTTTTATGATCGGTTGTCATGCGTGATTTTATTTCTGGTTTTCTGTGTAAACGGCCATCGGTGACAGACAGCAAAGTCAAACGGGAATGGGTCGCTGAAATACTTTTGGTTTTTATCGTTTGTAAATCGGAGCTAAATCGGGCGTAACGCTGATTAATCGGTGTTTGATAGCTAGTCATCAGTGGTTAAACACTTTCCGTCAGATATGGCCGTTGATTCATATTTGGTTATCTTTGTCCGATCGGCGATATCGGTGATTAAGAGCTTGCACATCTCGTGATATAGGTTGCCGTCTGTAATTTTTAAAATATTTTCACCGATCGAGAATTTTAGACGTGTTTAAAAATCCCAATCGGTAATTTTGCACCGATGAAACTTATCTTTCCCCAATAGCAGTTGATAGGTGGAAAACAGGTGACCAATAGGTGATATCGGTGATAAATACGTTGTCATCGGTTCACTCCATAAGTTGGCTAAAAAAACTACCGATCAATCACCGATGGCTCTGTGTAACTGGGGTGTAACATCGCAAACCTTGGATCGCTAGCTTGGTATTCTTCAGTTAGTACATCGAATTGTTTCATGTTTTGGAAGCAAGCTTTCAGTGGTTAGATACAAGGTGTTAGTCACATACCTTTTGTATCACAAATAATTCACAGTAAGGGTTGTTTAAATCCATGGTTGTTGACCATTGGTGAAAGCATATGTTAGCCTTGAGCAAGGACCTCTACAGGGATTAGAACACTATATTAGTATGGATTAAGATAAGTGTATTTATAAAGATTAGTGAGGTTAATAAAGGTTATAGCCTAAAATAAAGAAGAAAAGGGTTACTAAAGCATGCAATTTGACCTTTACACTGACAACTGACTTAATTTAAATGAACAGTGCAGGAAACAGAATGTGATTAGCATTTGCCACCAGACCAGCCTGCATGTTTGTGCTGACCAGGCTAGGTGACCAATTTTAGATTTATCTTGATATTCCCAAATTGATAATGAAATCCCAATAATGGATGAACTTCCAATAATGTAAGCTGGAAAAGTTCTTTACATAAGTTGCAAGCAGGCTAAAGGTTAAAACCAACAAAAGAAAATAAGAAAAACTCACACAAACTCCTGAAGCAGCATTATGATAACTTGAAATTGAATGAAGAATCTCATTTTTAGCTTTATCTAGAAGGTTCATGGATGTGTTACTTTGGATGTTCAACTTGTATGTAGAAATTAGACTTTAATAAAAAAAATTAAACCTTAATAACGTTGTTTAAGAAAGTACAGGTCCAAAAGCCTAAAGACATGAAATTTAAAAATCTTACATGATCAACTGACGTACTTGCAATGGAAAAATATGAAGAAAAGATAAAAATATAGTCATAATTAAATTTAAAATTGATATTCATTATGATAAATGGCCCGGTTTGAGTTTAAAAGGTTTAAATACTTTTTATCTGATGTCTTTTAGCATAATGAAATTGATTATTGTGAAAAATAAGAATGACATAGTGATTTGAAATATTGCACACAAGTTGTATTTGTAAAGACCTTCATCAAATAGTATAAAAATCTTGATAATATAATTTCTAGTCATGACAACCAAAATCATGGTGGAGTCCCTTGAAAAAATATATATTGACTTGGATTATAAAACAAAAACAAAACGAGTAAGAGAAACACATGTTAGATAAAAAAAGTTATGGTAATTAAAACATTTTAGTGTTTATTTAAAATATGTAAGAATGTCTTTTTTGTGAAGGTTTTAATCTTTGTTTTAATGGTAAACTCTGTGGTGGTTACAGGTAATTTGTTCATTTTCCAGGAGAACAACTAATGTAACATTGACAGCAATTGAAGTGTTCCATTGAATGTTAACAGGCAATAAAATTCTAATAAATTTCTTATTGATCCCATTTATGGACATCTAAATGATTCAATGGTTTCAGTAGCTATAGAAGGTATAGAAGGGGGGTATAAGGCTTGTTTGTATTGGTAGAGATATAGTTTTCAGTTGGATATCTGGTTGGTTTTATTCAGATTTGGTAGCTAATGTACAAACCAGATAAGCACTATCAAATCCTGTTCATTCAATGATAAAATCAGACTAAATTCACATGGTTTCAAATGTGACTTGAATATTTTGACAAGTTTATTTAGTGCAGTGTGCACAGACTGATAATGTATAATAACCTGTACCCTTTTTCACTACAAGTTCCCCTGTTATCAACACTAGCAAAAAAATGAAATCAGACATTATGTTGAAAGCTTTGCCATTTAGAAATGTCTGTATAAAAAAAGTGCCAAGAGCTATTGATTTTCTAATTTGTACCATTAGGTAGAAATTACTAGAAAAACTACAGATTGTTAAGGATGGAATGAGTTTTCTGGACAATTTTGGTTTTTCTCCTGTAACCATGTACATGTACCTGAATTCAGCATTTGGTCAATCATATTGTAGGAGTGGGGACGTAACGTTTGCTTCTATTTATTTCCGCGGAAAGCTAAAATACAGGAAACATTTCTGTAAATGTATTTTGGTCTTTAGTCTGTTTTAACAGCATGAAATGATGATTTTGCATCATACCTTCGACAATCTGTGTTCAACTCAGTATAGATTGGAAACTTCTGATTTTATCATGCTTCTTAATTAATCCTCAAAGGCAGAATTGATGATGTAATTGTCTTTTGACCTTTCTAGGTACAGCTCTAGTCATCATCTTGCATTATTTAAAACTCATTATTGTTGCCATTGTCTATGGCTTTCTAATGGAATTCAAATCTTTTCTATAGATTTTATGTTTATCTAAAATGTCTTGCTATTTATATATAAAGGAGCTTCACTGAGGTCTAAAAGCTTAGAAATATAAAATTTGAAAATCTTACATTATCAACTGAGGCATTTAAATAAACAATACAGTAGTTTACTGCCATGTGTCGAACTTTGACAAGTCAAGTTTCTTGTTTCCTTGATATAAAAAAGATGTGTTGAATTCTTTGAGGACTTTCAAGGGCAAAAAATTGAAATTTTCTCAAATTGTCATACCTTTGTTATTTATTTATGGCTTTGGTTCATTTGCTTTGGTTCATTCTTAGACAAAAGAAAACCGATTACTAAACTGGCAATGATGATTAATTCAAATGTGACCTTGACTGTCATGACCTTGACTGTCAAGGTCAAATATGAAATTGTTTAAGACAGCTATTTTAAGACAGCTATGTTTTCTAGGAGTATTCTTAATACTGCAATTTTCTTTCTTCAGTACATTAAAATTTTGACCTTAGAAGTAAGAAAAAGTTGAGCTCCTGGCTGTGGCTCTTGTTTACCCCAAATTATATCTACTTTACTACTTATTTCGAATCACATGTCTTGACCACTTAAAGTTAATGTTTATTGTTGTGTCTGATTATCATTTTAGTATGGTTAATTATTGAGGAGACATTACCCCTGTATATTTTAAGAAACAGAATTTAAATTATTGAAGCAGAATTTAAATGTGATACACAAAGTTGATTATAATCCCAATCAAATTCCATTTAACTTAATGAATTGCCCTCCTGGTAAACTCAGGTTAGTCTATGGAATTCATTAATTTCAATTCAGTTCTTTTGTGGTGTATTAAATGTACTTTATTCCCTTAATAAAAGGTTTTCATAAAGCAGATAATAAAAATACCAAAATGAGTTGGTTCTTTCTATGTAACAAATAGCTCTTAATACATGATAATTATCATGGTCTTTAAATGTGGCTATAGTTTATGTTAGACATGTTTTAACCAAAATAAGTGCATTTTAATTTGATCTAAAGGAAGAGAAAAGAATTGCAACTCATCACTGGTTATTTTACATATAATTGCATAGATAATGATATATTCCAAAATGAAGGCCAAATTGCGGCTTTTAATACATGTTATGAAAGGACTCAGTTCTTTCATGTTTTTGCAGAACATGAATAATATCTGAACAAATAGAATTTGTAATCTTTAAAAAGCTCTTAATAATGCCAATGACTTTAAGTATAATGTTATAAGGGGAATTTTACATAAAGGTTGTATAAGGAGGGTATTGAAATCCTCCGTTATATATTTTAGCAGTAAGTTTATATAACGTAAATGCTATACTATGTGTGCCAATTTTCATTCGCTGTGCGTAAAAAAGAAGTTCAATAAGTCATTTAGTATTATAGAAACTTATCATGCGTCATGATCAGGCTAGTCTGTGCCAGGGTTCTTTTCTACTGTATAGTGCAATTCCAATATCTCATTTCATAATGGAACATTAAAACATTTAAGGTAGAAATATTTTAACGTATAGATTTTCATTAGGAATGATCATTTAGTATATTGCTATTGTCAAATCACAGGTGAATTAAAATATAGTCTGAAAGCATTTTATGTTATCTATTTAGTGTTTGAGAATTATACATTAAACATAAATACTTATTGGATATTGCTAGCAATTGCCAGGTAAGCATAAATTAAACTGATTATGCAGTTTGAAAGCTAAAACTTGTGTAAACTTACAAAGCAATAGGTGAATTGGTTTGAGCATACAAATTTTTTTTATTCCTTGTTAAGGAATGATAAATTTCCTTCAAGTTTTTTAAGAAATGATCTCTTTATATTCTTTTCTTTATTTCCCCATACATGTTTGTGTTCAACATTCAAATTCATAATGAAATTGATGGTCTTGATATTTTATTTTATAAGGTTAAAGGATACCTTTTATATTTTTTGTTTTTAATTATTGTATGTTATTTGATCAATTATATCTTCTAATCTAATGCATATGTTCCTTTACCATATAGTTTGAAATTATGATTTTGAGTTAGGATTGAGCTTGGCAGTCTGGTCTTGTGTAACAAAAAAACCCCAAAAAACAAAATCGATTGCCACAGCTTTATTTAAAAAATTGTAAATGATTTAATGTTAAAAGCTGTAAAATTACAATAACTGAAGTAAATTAAAATGTAACTGAATTTAAATAATATATAACATTTGGCAATTATAATTGCCAATTAAAGGCTCAGAATGTTGTTATAGATGAGTTCTGATTTCATAAAGACTAGATCATCAAGGTTCTCCCTAGGAGTTTTATAGTCCTTAATACTCTTATTCAAAATAAAGCTGGTGCCTACTGTTAATCAGTGCCATTTAAGGTGTTTAAGGATTAGATGGTGGTAGAATTAAAAAAATAAAATAAAAAGATCCATCCTTACATCATTTTTTATCTTTATTTTTTTTTTATGATCTTCATGATGTTCTGTTTGTCTGGTAGCTGGAACATCACCTGTTCCATTTGAATGTCACCTGTTTGTTTTATCTGAATGTCACCTGCTTCATCATCATGTTGTTCTATTTGTCTGGTAGCTTGAACATCACCTGTTCCATTTGAATGTCACCTGTTTGTTTTATCTGAATGTCACCTGCTTCATCATCATGTTGTTCTGTTTGTCTGGTAGCTTGAACATCACCTGTGCCATTTGAATGTAACCTGCTTGATCCTCATGTTGTTCTATTTGTCTGGTAGCTTGAACATCACCTGTTCCATCTGAATGTCATCTGCTTGATCCTCATGTTGTTCTGTTTGTCTAGTAGCTTGAACATCATCTGTTCCATATGAATGTCATCTGCTTGATCCTCATGTTGTTCTGTTTGTCTAGTAGCTTGAACATCACCTGTTCCATATGAATGTCATCTGCTTGATCCTCATGTTGTTCTGTTTGTCTAGTAGCTTGAACATCACCTGTTCTATCTGAATGACATCTGCTTGATACTCATGTTGCTCTGTTTGTCTAGTAGCTTGAACATCACCTGTTCCATCTAAATGTCATCTGCTTGATCCTCATGTTGTTCTGTTTGTCTAGTAGCTTGAACATCACGTGTTCCATCTGAATGTCACCTGCTTGATCCTCATGTTGTTCTGTTTGTCTAGTAGCTTGAACATCACATGTTCTATCTGAATGACATCTGCTTGATCCTCATGTTGTTCTATTTATCTAGTAGCTTGAACATCACCTGTTCCATCTGAATGTCATCTGCTTGATCCTCATGTTGTTCTATTTGTCTAGTAACTTGAACATCACCTGTTCCATATGAATGTCATCTGCTTGATCCTCATGTTGTTCTATTTGTCTAGTAGCTTGAACATCACCTGTTCCATATGAATGTCATCTGCTTGATCCTCATGTTGTTCTGTTTGTCTAGTAGCTTGAACATCACCTGTTCTATCTGAATGACATCTGCTTGATACTCATGTTGCTCTGTTTGTCTAGTAGCTTGAACATCACCTGTTCCATCTGAATGTCACCTGCTTGATCCTCATGTTGTTCTGTTTGTCTAGTAGCTTGAACATCACCTGTTCCATATGAATGTCACCTGTTGATCATCATGTTGTTCTGTTTGTCTAGTAGCTTGAACATCACCTGTCCCATCTGAATGTCATCTGCTTGATCCTCATGTTGTTCTGTCTGGTAGCTTGAACATCACCTGTTCCATATGAATGTCACCTGCTTGATCCTCATGTTGTTTTGTTTGTCTAGTAGCTTGCACATCACCTGTTCCATCTGAATGTCACCTGTTGATCATCATGTGTTTCTGTTTGTCTAGTAGCTTGAACATCACCTGTTCCATCTGAATGTCATCTGCTTGATCCTCATGTTGCTCTGTTTGTCTGGTAGCTTGAACATCACCTGTTTCATCTGAATGTCATCTGCTTGATCCTCATGTTGTTCTGTTTGTCTAGTAGCTTGAACATCACCTGTTCCATCTAAATGTCATCTGCTTGATACTCATGTTGTTCTGTCTGGTAGCTTGAACATCACCTGTTCCATCTGAATGTCACCTGCTTGATACTCATGTTGTTCTGTCTGGTATCTTGAACATCACCTGTTTCATCTGAATGTCACCTGCTTGATCCTCATGTTGTTCTGTTTGTCTGGTAGCTTGAACATCACCTGTTCCATCTGAATGTCACCTGTTGATCATCATGTGTTTCTGTTTGTCTAGTAGCTTGAACATCACCTGTTCCATCTGAATGTCATCTGCTTGATCCTCATGTTGCTCTGTTTGTCTGGTAGCTTGAACATCACCTGTTTCATCTGAATGTCATCTGCTTGATCCTCATGTTGTTCTGTTTGTCTAGTAGCTTGAACATCACCTGTTCCATCTAAATGTCATCTGCTTGATACTCATGTTGTTCTGTCTGGTAGCTTGAACATCACCTGTTCCATCTGAATGTCACCTGCTTGATACTCATGTTGTTCTGTCTGGTATCTTGAACATCACCTGTTTCATCTGAATGTCACCTGCTTGATCCTCATGTTGTTCTGTTTGTCTGGTAGCTTGAACATCACCTGTTTCATCTGAATGTCATCTGCTTGATCCTCATGTTGTCCTGTTTGTCTGGTAGCTTGAACATCACCTGTTCCATATTCTCACTGGATATATTGAATAGGCAAATATCAAACTGTATATTATTAGACAAATGATACCATATAATTTGAATATCAATAGTAGTAAATCAGAGCTAATCTAAATGATATTCAAGGAAAAAGTTGATTATATTATTTTCTGGAATGTTTATAGTATGATTTATAGTTGTTTTTCCTATTTTGATTATCTAGCCTATACCTATTGTCATTCATAGAGAGTCCTGCCTTGTAAATTGATTGCTAGCTTTGTCTAACATTGATTGCATACTTCAAGTTCCTATTCCCTGTCCTGACAAGTTCTGTTATAATTCTTGGCCTACTCGAGGGCAGTGTTTTCAGATGAATCTATTGCCATATAAAGATGTCATTAACACATCTATATTCTTATTCCCCCTGGTCAACTATTGACCTATCTGCCAAATAAGGGGAGCATGGAGTAAACTGGTTAATGGATAACTTGATAATGAAGTTCATTTCTGTATCATTAAACAAAAAACTAATGTTGGAAATTAGAAATTAAACCCCTTGAATAAATAATTATATAAGGCTCAGGAGAACAGGAAGAATAGCTAAATTTTGTTCCCTTGCCCTTAAAGTTGACATTGAATAGTACAAGGTTGTGCTTGACAGTTTCACTAAGACTTATCAATGTTAATGATTTTGGCCTTGGGATCATATTTAAGCTACGTTTAAAAGAAACTTGTGGAATAACACATTGTTTATTCATTGACAAATATACATATCACATTATTTGGTATGGAAAATTATTCCACTATTCTTCATATTAACTGCAAAATGGTTAAACATACATAAATATTTTTGGACCTAAGAATAATGTGGACTTGACTTTTCCACCTGTATTGGGCTATATATAACTGCATGCTTTAAAATGCAGACTTGTTGCAGTCTTGGAGATTTGAAAGAAAAGACATTGAGGCATTTGTTACAGGCATAATTGCAAAAAGTATAGAGTTTGGTCAGTATTTATGGCATATGCAGTCTGAACCTTCCCTTCACTTTTTTGCTATTTTTGTGTGAAATTTTAGTACTTTGATATTTAAACCCTGAATAACAAATTCAAAGAACTGACTAGACCTAAATGAAGATAATTAGGAAAGGATGAAAGTTTTTTTTGTGTACTAAGTTAGCCTTTTAAATGTCAAGATTTCCACAGTGATATTTATAATGTTTTATGTAATTCCTAAAAATAAAAATATCAGGAGCTTCAATTAATCTGACACAGGTGTGAATCGTTAGGAAAAAAATAATGTGCAGTAATTGCCTTACAATTCCAAGGACTTTTGAACCTTGAATGTCCAATTAATTGTTATATTTAACATGTTTGAAGCATAGGTCATCAACTCACCTTTTCTTCCTGATCATCAAGTATTTTCATGGTTAACATATTTGTTATCAAGCCCTTATTTAGCCTTGAGTTAGTGATTCATGTTAAAGGGAATTCTTTATAAAAAATATATCCTGCTTGGATCAGATAATTTTATGCTCGGCTGTAAAATATTCTTTCAATATTCGTTCTGAAGTGGATCTTTTCAGCATGTTAATAGATTATTCTTATTGAAATATTGATATAATTATGTTATACATTAGATACAAAAGCATTTCAAGTTGAATACCTTGATAGCAATTCGATTCATTTGCTTACTGATCTGCTAATTTGTCAATCTTAAAAAATAAATGTTACCAAAGTTCATTTAATCAATGATATGTTTTAATATATGCCTTTTATCAACTGTTTTGGTATGTAAAGTTTTGAATTGAATTTGATAATTGGTCATCAGATATGGTAAAAAAAGTAAATTTCATGATATTGATAGTTGTAAAGTAATCATACAGTTGTAA